ATATATTTGCATTACATTGGTCATCACATATATTTCCATAGTATTTTTCAGGATTCACAGATGAATATAAAGCTCAAAAGAACAGCATTTATTTGAAAGAGAAATCTTTTGTAACATTAGGATTGTCTTTGCTGTCACATTTGATCAGTTTAATGCGTCCCTTATGAATAAAGTACTTTTAAATAGGAGTGTACTGCGCATCACAAGCTAGCTTTGATTAAAAGGTTAAGTATTTAAATAAATGAACACTTATTTTTGCACATGATTTCAGATGGACGTGTTCATCCTCACAGATACTCACGGGAAGGACGGCGGGCTGAAGACGGACACCAGCGCTCCGGTGTAGATAGAGAGGATGGACACGATCACACAGGCCAGAAACACAGACGCCAGCTTGTTGACGTATTTGACTCCCACGAACACCAGCAGCGACATCAGCACTAGGAAGATGGAGCCGTAGACGCGCATGTTGTTCAGCATGGCCGCCGCCTCGTCGTCAGGACTCTCCGAGACGAAGATGGCAGAACTTGGAGCGATATACATCTGTAAACGGCAGAAGAACTGAACAAAAACTCTGATGCGAACCACCGTAATATTAATGTTAGACGTGAAGACCTGCGCACCAGCAGGATCTCGACGGCCCCGAGGATGTACATGGAGCCGGCGAAGGTCGTGCCCAGATAGAAGCAGGAGCCCACGGCCCCGCCGAACTCGGGCCCCAGCGAACGGGAGATCATGAAGTACGAGCCGCCCGCTGGAGGAGCGGAGAGACAGACGGCTGTGTGTTAGTCACTATGTTAACTCTACAACAGCAGGAGAGACAGATTCATCAAGCCTACGGCAGCAGAAGCAGCTCAACATCAGCAGAGTCAGATATGATACTAGAAATCATTATTATGCATGCAAATCATATTAATAGAGAGACACAGGGATTAAAGTTCCGTCGCTACGACGGCTTTCCGTCAGTTCTTAAAGCGAATCACGTGCTTCATTCCTGAATGATTCAGCCGTTCGAACGAATCAA